TGAGCATTTGTGGGACGAAGTTAAAAGAGCCATCAGGCAGCTGGTTCCACAACCATCAAATCTCACAGAACTGGACAGTGCTATTCATCAGGCATGGTGTCAGATTCCTCGCATCACCTTTCAACATCTTGTGGAGTCAATGCCAAGAGGAATCGCTGCAGTATTGAAGATAAAAGGTGGCCCAACGAAGTACTGATGGGGTGGTCATAATAATCTGGCCGGTCATAATAATATGGCCACTTAGTGTATACGCTCTCTGAAAGAGACCCACCTAGGCAGCTCCTCTTAAAGGGCCTGAGCATGGTCTTACTCAGACTCAGTCCCTCTGAGCCCTAGCACTTGGGCCACAGCTTAAAAGGAACCTGGGACATTTAGGGAGGAACCAACTTATCTGGAATCTAGGAGAGAGCTGGAGGGGCAGCTTTCTCCCAGACGGAAGTGCTGATAGAGGCCATTGTTCCATTGCTGAGCCCTGAGAGAGAGACAGATATGTGAGAGAGTTGCATCAATCAGTTGCCTCCTAGATGCCCATTCAGGGGATGGGACCTGCAACTTAGGTATGTGCCGTGACCAGAAATTTAACCTACAACTTTCTGGTGTAAGGCATGATGCTCCAGCCAACAGTGCCACCTGGCCAGGCTCCACAGTTAAGCTGATACCCTTTGATTGCCTCTTTATAGGAGATTAATTCTGTCACATAGTAATAAATGTTAATGTTATACTAGATATTAGTTACTAGATATTATATTTATACTAGAGACCCCGTACACGAAATTGGGGCGCATGAAGTGTCCCTAGGCCTGGTGGTGATCAGGGCCGATTGGGGCCTTCCAGCTGCCAGCCAGGGCCTTCCTTTGTTCCACACCTCCCCCTGGTGGTCAGTGCATGTCCCAGTGTGCAATCGGACTCCCAGTCTCCTGGTCAACTTCCAAGGGAAGACCTTGCATATTAGCCTTTTATATATTTAGATAATGCAAAGGACACAGAGAGAATTCATGCTCCCTTCAGCATGGATGATTGACATTTCTTTTTCTCCTGTACAATTAAAGAAACGTTTCTTTAGATCACACAAATTGTTACTGGGAATGTCTGAAGTTTCACATCATTGTCATATTTGGGAAAATGTTGATCAAGTTTCTTTCTTTCATAGAAGAGCAGTAGGATTGCAGGTTATGTCTACACATAACTCGGGCCCCTGCTGGGCTTTGAAAAGGGACAGAGCATGGGAGGGGCCTGAAGGTGGAGCTTCCTGAGGGGCCTGTAAGGTAGCAAATTTGTTGCTGTGCTAAGGCCCACCTCTGGGTCCCTCCGAATGGGGTGAGATCTCCCTTCACACATCGCCTTCTGATGGGGCCTGTGTGCTGTCACTGTCCCAGGTCCCTCAGACCCTGGAAGACCCACACGTGTGCTTCCCATGTCTCCACAAATCTCAGAGCAAAGGGCTTGAATGCTCAAGTTTTCGCTGGGGTTCCACCCCCCAACTGGAGTTGAGTCTAAATTGCTTTTTCTCTTGCCATCACTTGAGCTGTCTAAAGAAAATGTAAAGTTATCCTTTTCTAGACCGATCAGTGGTTTCAGCCTAAGGGTGGGTCTCCCCCAAGTCCAGCTCCGACCCCAGTGGCCCCCTGGGTGACCTCCCCCCGACTTACACATCATCTGCAAGGTGATTACTTTCAGATTCACATCTGGACATGCCTCTCAACCTCTTGGGGCCTCAGCATATCCACCGGCAGGGTTGAGTGGGGTGGGGGAGGGAGACAGGATGATTTCTCAGCCACACACCCCCCACCCGCCACGTCCTGTGGAGGCCAAGTTCCCCTCCAGCCTGGTCACAGTCTCTCCCCCAGGGCTTCCTGTTGGGGTGTCCTAGGCCCCACCCCAGAGCTGGGCACTTCCCTCCCTGACACAGGGACCTAGACCCACTCTGCCCTGCCAGAGGCAGACATGGTGCCCCTGCTGCTGCTGCCCCTGCTGTGGGGGGGGTGAGTGGGCTGAGGAAGGGGGGCTGGGCAGGTGGAGGATCAGCAAGGGCTGCCACTGAGGCTCTGTCCCCTCCCCCAGGGTCCCTGCAGCAGCAGCCAGGCTACACGTATGAGCTCCGAGTGCAGGAATCGGTGACAGTGTTTGAGGGTCTGTGTGTCCACGTGCCCTGCTCCTTCTCCTACCCGTGGAGTTCGTGGTCTTCCTATAGCAAATTCTACACCTACTGGTACCGGGACTGGGACAACACAGCCTATGATGCTCCTGTGGCCTCGAGCAACTGGAATAAACCAGTGAAGAAAGAGACGAAAGGCCGCTTCCTCCTCGGGGACCCCACGACCAACAACTGTTCCCTGAGCATCACAGACGCCAGGAGGAGTGACACAGGACGCTACTTCTTCCGAGTGGAGATAGAATATCCTGTATATAATTAAGATGCTGGATTTGCAGGTGACAGGTAAGACAGGGGCCCAAGATAGGACCCAGGGACACAGAACCCTGTCGTAGAGCAGGAACAGGACACTGGACAATCCCTGTCTAGGCCTTGGGCCCTGGGTGGTGGGAAGATCACAGGGCCTGGGTGAGCTCAGGGGCCCTGAGGCGCGAGTCCCACCCAGGATCACACTTTGGGTCCCATTCCTGGGGGCCAGGCACCTTCCTCTCTCCTGTTCCTCCCTGACAGACAAACCCCACATCCAGATTCCGGAGCCTCTGGAGTCCGGCCGCCACACAGAGCTGGCCTGCAGCCTGCCAAGGTCTTGTGAAAGTGGACAACATTTCACCTTCTCCTGGGCGGGAGCCGCTGTGGACTCGCGGAACACCCAGAATCTCATCTCCTCAGTGCTCACCTTCACCCCAAGGCCCAGGGACCATGGCACCAACCTCACCTGTCAGGTCAAAGTCCAACAGCCTCCGTTGACAGCACAGAAAACCATCCGGCTTGATGTCTCCTGTGAGTGTTGGAGGGGTGGCTGGGTTCGTGGGGTCAGTGGAGTGGCCTGTGTGTGTGTGTGTGTGTGTGTGTGTGTGTGTGTGTGTGTATGTGTGCTGGAGGCTGAGCTAACCTGAGAACACTCGGGCATGGATGTGTGTGTAGGTGGGGAGGGGGCCAGAAAGAGAGAACCCCTCCTTCCTGGTTCCCACCGTCCCTCCTTGGGTTTGGGGTGACTTCCATATGAAGGGGGACCCTGTCTTTCTATCCCAGATGCCCCTTGGAACCTCACTATAGGCGTCTCCTTCAGAAAAGACACAGGTAGGAAAGAACCCCTCCTCTCTGGGCGGGGACCTGCCCGAGGGGCCCTGGTGGGGCAGAGTGGGGAGCAGGAGTTTGAATGGGATCAGACATCGGAAGTGCAGGGATGAAAGTCAGCACCCCAGTTCCTCACCTCTGGAGGGTGGGTGCCTGCACACATCTCTCTCTTCTCTCTCTCTCTCTACCCAAAGCCTTCAAGAATCTACAAACCACATCCCTTTCCATCCTGGAGGGAGAGGCCCTGAGGCTGCGCTGTGAGGCTGACAGCAACCCCCCTGGCGGGCTGAGCTGGTTCCGGGGGTCCCCAGGCCTGAACGCCACCCCCCTCTCCAGCACCGCGATCCTGGAGCTGCCTCGCGTGGGGCCTGCACAGGAAGGAGAGTTCACCTGCCAAGCTCGGCACCCGCTGGGCTCCCACAGGGTCTCTGTCAGCCTCTCCGTGGTCTGTGAGTGGGGAGTGGGTTGAGACGTGGGTGGGGTGGGAGCAGGAGGGTTGCACCTGGAAGTAGGTCACCTCGATGCCTGGAGATGTTAGAGGCACCGCTGACTCTTCTCCTCGCTCCCCACAGACCCTCCGCAGCTGCTGGGACCCTCCTGCTCCTGGCAGGACCAGGCTCTGCTCTGCAGCTGCTCCTCCAGGGCCCAATGGGTCCCCTCCCTGCGCTGGCGGCTGGGGGCGGGGCTGCTGGAGGGGAACCATGGCAACACCTCCCACCTGCAGTTACCTCCTGTTCAGAGGGGCCCTGGACTGACAGCTCCCTGAGCCAGGGTGTGGGGCTCAGTGAGGGACTCAGATCCAGCCATAAGGTCAGGAATGTCCATGGAGCCCAGGGCGCTTCTGTCTTGCTGCTGCCAGGTCAGGGCCTGCTGGGGGCAGAGGCCACGGATAAAGGAATGGGTCAGAGAGAGGGTGGGGCTGGAGGTGGGGGTTGCTTGGGGAAAGGGGGGATTGCTAGGACAGGGCCCTCCATCTCCTGCCTGAACAGAACCCACAGCGGGTTCTGCAAGGAGGTGGGAAGAGGAGAGACTGAGTTCTGGGAGTGGGTGGTGTCACCTGATCTGGTGCTGGAGGAACAATCCCTGAGCCCCTCCAGCCCTCAGCACCAGGGCTCCTGGAGCTGCCCCATGTGGGGCTGGAGGCGGAGGGGAGTTAACCAGCCGGGCTCAGCACCTGCTGGGCTCCCAGCACGTCTCCTTCAGCCTCTCTGTGCAGAGTGAGGTGCAGGACAGGTGTGGGGCGGCCGCCTGGTCAGGTGTTGTGCTGTGGGTGGACTGACACCTGGACAACACGTCACCCATCTCCCGTCATCCCCAGGCAGCCCTCCCTGCAGATGTGTGACGGAGGAGCAGCAGGGCTCCTGGCCCCTGGTCCTCACCCTGATCAGAGGGGCCCTCATGGGGGCTGGCTTCCTCCTCACCTACGTCCTCACCTGGCTCTACTACACCAGGTGAGCAGGCCTGTCTCTCCCGGGGAAGGTCAGGGATTGGCCCTGAGGTCCAGGTGGGGCCGCCCTGTCCGGCTCTGCCTGGGGAACAAAAGCATGGATGGAGTGTTTGTGTGAACTAATATAAATTCAAAGTAAACATCATTACATAAAAGGGTACGGTCTTTTTTTTTAGTTTTATTCATTTCAAACAGGCCGGATCCGGCCCGCTGGCTGTAGTTTGCCCACGGCTGAGTTAGAGCCAAAGTGGCCGAGTCTCTGAGCTGACACCTATGTGGGCCCCGCAGGTGTGGAGGCCCCCGGAACAGGAGGCAGAGCTCCTGATGGATCCTCCCTTCCTCTCAAGATGGGACTGAGGTGTGGACACCAGGCTAGAGGGACTGTCCTGGGACATCAACGTCACCTTCTCCCTGGAAGCTCTTGCCTCACCTGCCTCTAATGTGCCCCTGGGGTTTCAGTGTGTGGATGTGACTGAGTGACCACAAGGGGCGTCAATGCCATGGAGAGAAGACTTTTACTCCTTTTACCTCCTGAGTTGACCACGTGGGAATAAGCCGGCCCTGGGAGGCCCTGGGTCTCCTTGGCTTCCAATCTGTTTAATGGTTTAAAACATCATAAGATACAGAAATAAACAATAATACACACCCACTGACTGCCCCCTTGTTTCTTCCTGTGCTTCTCCCATTTGACTTCTCTCTCTCTCTCTCTCTCATCTGCCCACTCATCCCCCAATCCCCTGCTCCTCTCTCCATCCTCAGTCCCAGAAAGGGACTGAAGTTGGTACCTTATCCTCCCCTTGCCCAGAAGTTACCACCTGAGTTTCTGGTCTCCCAAACTGACCCATCAATGTAGACATTGATACACAGTGGAGTTAGGAGCACAGCTCTCCTTTCCTTATTCATAGATTCCTGCCTTGTTATTATTATTATAAAACATCCCTACATTTAGTTATAAATAAAAATATATCTGTGATACTTCATAAAAATTGAGGTCACTATTTAGTGTCTGTGGGAGTTTCTTGAGTCCAATTACATCTGCACCTTCTCTTTCTGTTGTTGCTGTTGTTGAACCTGTAAGTAAGGGATTTTGTTTATTCTTGGCAATTATTCAATTGGTATTTATATCTATTCTTGAATAATAAAGAATTTCAACACTTAAGACACAACTAAGTATCCTCTCACCATTTGTATTGCTATTGTCATATATCTTACAGCTATAAACATTATAAGCTTTAGAGAACATTAATAATTACTTGGATGTAAACAATTATTTTCTCTCCAGATTTACTGAGATATTTTTGGCCTAGAATGCATGCAGGTTTAAGGCATGCAATGTGCATATTTGATACACCTACATAGTGAACTGATTACCACAAGGTTCATTAACACTTCCATCCTTTCATATAGTTATAATTGTTATGGTTATAACACTGATGATGTATAACCATAGCAACTTTTTGGGATATAATAAAATCGTGTTAATCATAGAAATCATACTGTACAGTAGGTTCCCAGAAATTATTCATCTTGTAGCTGTAAATTTGTATGCTTGGCCAACATCTCCCCATTTCCTCACCCCCAGCCCCAGCATCACCGTTCTACTCTCTTTTTGTGAGTTCAGCTTCTTCAGATCCCACTGTGAGAACACACTGCAGGTAAACAATGACTATTTTTTAAAATACCCCTCACAGTTATGCTTCCCTCATGCAGTTCTAGGTTTCCATCACAGAATCACGTTCCTCTATGCAAAAATGAACTAAAAATATATTAAAGACCTAAATATAATACAGACAACTATAGAACTCTTAGAGGAAAACACAGGGGGAGAGTCCAAGACATTGGATTTTGCAAATATTTCCTGGATATTTACATCCAAAGCACAGACAGGGAAAGCAAACATAGACAAGTGAGCTGTACCAACTTCAAAACCTGAGCACAAAAGGACACCCTCACCAGACTCCAGAGGCCACCTACAGGATGGGAGAGAAGATGTATCTGATGAGGGGTTAATCCTCAGAATATATTACAAACTCATATGAGGCAACATAAGAAACCCAAATAACACAACTGAAACATTGGGCTAAAAACTTGAGTCGATATTTCTCCAAAGATGATATACTCATAGCCAACAAACTTAGGAAAAGATATTCAACATCATTAATCCTAAAGAACTGCAAATCAAAGCCCTTGCTGGGTAGCTCGGTTGGTTAGAGTGTCTTCCAGTTGGCTGGTTTGATCCTTTTCAAGGCACATACAACAATCAACCAATGATTGTATACGTCAAAACTATAATGAGATGGGGGCCTTCCTGCATTTCACGTGACCCCTGGTGGTCAGCGCACATAATTTCGAGCAATCAAACTCCCAGTCTCCTGATCAAACTCCCGAGGAGACACTTTGCATATTAGCCTTTTATATATATAGATAATACAGAGAATAGAGAGAGAGAATTCATGCTCCCTTCAGCATGGCTGATTGACATTTTCTTTTTCTCCTGTACAATTAAAGAAATGTTTCTTTCAATCACACAATTTGTTACTGGGAATGTCTGAAGTTTCACATTGCTGTCATATTTGGGGAAACATTGATCAAGTTTCTTTCTTTCATAAAAGAGTAATAGGATTGCAGGGTATGTCCACGCATTACTCGAGTCCCTGCTGGGCTTTGAAAAGGGACGGAGCATGTGAGGGGCCTGAAGGTGAAGCTTCCTGAGCTGTAGGTGGTGAATTTGCTGCTATGCTGAGGCCCCGCCTCTGGGTCCCTCCGAATAGGGTGAGATCTCCCTTCACACATCACCTTCTGATGGGGCCTGTGTGCTGTCACTGTCTCAGGTCCCTCAGACCCTGGAAGATCCACACGTGTTCTTCTCGTGTCCCCACAAAGCTCTCAGAGCTTGAATGCTCAAGTTTTCACGGGGGTTCCACCCTCCAACTGGAGTTGAGTCTAAATTCCTTTTCTCTTGCCAGCACTTGAGTTGTCTAAAGTAAATGTAAAGTTATCCTTTTCCAGACCCATCAGTGGTTTCAGCCTAAGGGTGGGGCTCCCCCAAGTCCAGCTCTGACCCCAGTGGCCCCCTGGGTGACCTCCCTCTCCACTTACACATCATCTGCAAGATGATTACTTTCAGATTCACATCTGGACATGCCTCTCAACCTTTGGGGGCCTCAGCATATCCACCGGCAGGGTTGGGTCGAGGCGGGAGGGAGACAGGTTGATTTCTCAGCCACCACCAACCACCCCCACATCCTGTGGAGGCCAAGTTCCCCTTCCACTCTGGCCACAGTCCCTCCACCAGGGTTTCCTGTTGGGGCGTCCTAGGCCTCACCTCAGAGCTGGGCACTTACCTCCCTGACACAGGGACCAGGACCCGCTCTGCCCTGCCAGAGGCAGACATGGTGCCCCTGCTGCTGCTGCCCCTGCTTTGGGAGGGTGAGTGGGCTGAGGGAGGAGGCTGGGCAGGAGGGGGATCAGCCGGGGCTGCTGCTGAGCCTCTGTCCCCCTCCCCCAGGGTCCCTGCAGCAGCAGCCAGGCTACCAGTATGAGCTCCGAGTGCAGGATTCGGTGATAGTGCATGAGGGTCTGTGTGTCCATGTGCCCTGCTCCTTCTTTTACCCTTGGAGTTCGTGGTCTTCCCCTAGAAACCTCTACACCTACTGGTACCGGGACAGGGACAACACAGACTGTGATGTTCCTGTGGCCTCGAGCAACCCACGTAAACCGGTTAAGAGTGAGACAGAAAACCGTTTCATCTTCGCGGACCCCAAGACCAAGGACTGTTCCCTTTACATCAGATATGCCAGGAGGAGTGACACAGGACGCTACTTCTTCCAAGTGGAGATAGGAAATTCTGTGAAACATAGTTACCGAGAGAAGATGCTCAATTTGCAGGTGACAGGTAAGGCAGGGGCCCAGGGGAGGACCCAGGGACATGGGACCCAGTCTTAGAGCAGGAACAGGACACTGGACACTCCCTGATTCAGGCCTTTGGCGCTGGGTGGTGGGAAGATCACAGGGCCTGGGGAGCTCAGGGGCCCTGAGACACAAGTCCCACTCAGGATCACACTTTGGGTCCCACTCCCTGAGGCCCAGGTATCTCCCCCTCTCCTCTTCCTCCCTGACAGACAAACCCCACATCCAGATTTTGGAGCCGCTGGAATCCTGGCACCACACAGAGCTGACCTGCATCCTGCCAGGGTCCTGTGAAAGGGGACAACCTCTCACCTTCTCCTGGGCAGGAGCTGCTGTGGACTCGCTGGACCCCCAGACCCTCGGCTCCTCGGTGCTCACCTTCACCCCGAGACCCCGGGACCATGGCAGCAACCTCACCTGTCAGGTGAAACGGGAATGGCCTCACTTGACCTCCCAGAGAACCATCCGGCTCAATGTCTCCTGTGAGTGTTTGATGGATGGCTGCGTCCCTAGAGGTAGTGGGACTGATATGTGTGTGTTTGTGTGTGTGTGTGTGTGTGTGTGTGTGTGTGTGTGTGTGTGTGTAGGAGGCTGAGCTAACCTGAGAACACCCGGGCATGGATGTGCCTGTAGGTGGGGAGGGGACTAGAAGGACAGCTCCCCCCCCTTCCGGGTTCCCACTGCCCCTCCTTGGGGTTGGGGTGACATCCATGTGAAGTGGGGCCCATCTTTCTATCCTAGATGCCCCAGGGAACCTCACCATAGGCGTCTCCTTCAGAAACGACCCAGGTAGGAAAGAACCCCTCCTCTCTGGGCTGGGACCTGCCCCGGGCCCTGGTGGGGCAGAGCAGAGAGCAGGATTTTGAATGGGATCAGACTTGGGAAGGTCAAGGATGAAAGTCATCATCCCAGACCCTCACCTCTGGTGGGTGGGTGCCTGACCTGTGTTACACACACATCTCTCTCTCTCTCTCTCTCTCTCTCTCTCTCTCTCTCTCTCTCTCTCTGCATTTCTCTACCCAAAGACTTCAAGAATCTACAAACCGCATTCCTAACCATCCTGGAGGGAGAGGCCCTGAGGCTGCGCTGTGTTGCTGACAGCAACCCCCCTGCCGAGCTGAGCTGGTTCCGGGGGTCCCCAGGCCTGAATGCCACCCCCATCTCCAGCACCGCGATCCTGGAGCTGCCTCGCGTGGGGCCTGCACAGGAAGGAGAGTTCACCTGCCAAGCTCGGCACCCGCTGGGCTCCCACAGCGTCTCTCTCAGCCTCTCCGTGGTCTGTGAGTGGTGAGACCCCGGGGGGCAGGACAGCTGGGTTCTGGGGAGATTAGAGGCACCGCTGACCCTTCTCCTCGCTCCCCACAGACCCCCCGCAGCTGCTGGGACCCTCCTGCTCCTGGGAGGACCAGGGTCTGCACTGCAGCTGCTCCTCCAGGGCCCAGCCGGCCCCCTCCCTGCGCTGGCGGCTGGGGGCGGGGCTGCTGGAGGGGAACCATGGCAACGCCTCCCAC